TTAGCACCACTAGTAGAGTGACCACACTCGTTGAATGACTTATGCGGAATCTCTCGCGCACGGCACCTACAGTGAACTTTATACTCCACAAACAAGCGAGGGTTTCTCGATATACCCTCCATTCCACCTCAATCCAACAGGTATTTTGTAGACGCTCCGACATATATATTACATACCGCTCCACTACAGCGTCACTTAACAGTACATCATATAACATTGTACTCAAAGAAATAATAATAATCTCAATTAATATACACAATCCGAAATTCGAAAGCAACATTAGCAAGAAAGAATACGAGATATTATTTTTGAGTAAAACAGATATATACTTAGTTCGACTCTTCGTTATGGGATATACTCGTTTCAGAACGTCATAAAATTAACCAATATGTACTTATATATCTATAAATCTCCAATCTAAGCAAACCAAATGAATCAAAAATCGCTTATCATTGTGTAGTTACTGAATACTGACATCCTTACAGCGTTACAGAATCATGTAGATATTTAGATGTCAACCGATATATAGATATTGAAATATATAGATTCGATATCAGATATCCAAATCCAACAGATAGATACGATTTGGTACAGGATAAGAGTGGTATTACGCATGCCTACCACAAAGCTGAGCGTGCTGTGCTGAGCTTTCTGCAACCATCCACCTCTCGCATGCCTTTCCAGATCGTCACTCAATCTAGTAGCAGGTCGCCCTACACTTCTCTTACTTGCACGAAGCTGTAACTCGTGAACCTGTCCTCATCATTTATCGGTTATTTGAGCTATATGGCCGGCCTTTGACTATGTTTGTTACGCTGGTTCTACCGCGGATATCCTCATTTCGAAGCCTATCATGCAGAAAAATACCGAGCATAGCTCTCTTCATTGCTCGCTGGGCGGCCTTGAGCTTCTCATACAGCCGACAGTGAAGGACCAAGTCTCAGATTTATATGTCATAACAACACGGTTTGTTTTCTAATTTTGAGGTAATCTCAGCCTTCAAGGCCGAGTTGAATCTGTCGATTAACGTTTCGGTCGAAGTTGGACTTATCTTGATAAAGTTTATCACATCACTTTACTAGCTTTACTATTTACATTTCCACAGTTACAAATATATTATCGAAGCATTAGCAGTTGCCTCTGTGAAAGACGAGGCCAACGATTTTTGTTATGTATTTGTTACAAAACAAGAGAAATTTTCAAGAAAAATTGTGTTTTTATTTTTTTCCTTACTTGAAAAATGACTGTAATAATCAAGACTATAGTGCGAATTGCCGTGTAGTGGCGGTCAAGAATATCCACTACCCCATATCCTCCCGTGGGTGTCGTAAAAGGCGACAAAGGGAAACAGGCAGGAGATGGGCAGCAGCATCTTCTTGATAACAACAAACTAACAATAAAAAAAAAACAGCGGTTGCCAACCCGCTCGCTAAGCGTGGCAACTATGGCAAATACCCCCCTATGAATGACAGTAACAAAGAAACGGCCCCCAGTCCCCGGCGGCCACGCTATTCCTGGCTACGGTGGCGACCATGGTAACGGCGGGGCAGGGGGTGCTAAGAATCTCCGGTGGAGGTTCGGTTGCCACCTTAGACGACTCGACCTGGCAACGTACAACGCACGCACCCTGAGGACTGACGAGAAGATTGTGGAGCTGGAAGAAGAGATAGACAAGTTGCGCTGGTATATTATAGGATTATCCGAAGTCCGAAGAGAGGGGGAGGACGCGGTAATCCTCCAATCTGGCAACTTGCTCTATCACCGGGAGGGCGACCATCTGTCCCAAGGAGGTGTCGGATTTATCGTCCACAAGTCTCTCGTTAACAACGTTGTAAAGATCGGGAGTGTGTCGACGAGGGTTGCGTACCTTATACTCAGAATCACCAAACGGTATTCGCTGAAGGTCATACAGGTTTACGCACCAACCTCGGCACACCCCGATGAAGAGGTGGAGGAAATGTATGAGGATATCTCTAAAGCCATGCATTCCTCCAAAACCCAATATACGGTGTTAATGGGAGACTTCAATGCAAAACTAGGCACAAGAGAGAACGGTGAGCTGAAAGTAGGGAAATTTGGAATAGGGCAACGGAACCCAAGGGGCCAGCAGCTGGCCGACTTCATGGAGAAAGAGGGACTCTTTATGATGAACTCTTTCTTCCAGAAGCGGCCCCACATGAAGTGGACCTGGTCGAGCCCCGACGGTTCCACAAAAAATGAGATTGACTTCATTATGACGACCAGACGACAACTGTTCAGTGATGTCTCCGTGATCGCGAGGGTGAAAACTGGTAGCGATCACCGAATGGTTAGAGGCACACTGAACCTAAACGTTAAGTTGGAGAGGTCTCGTCTAATGAAGTCAACGCTCCGTCCCCCTCGTGCTTTGTTCCAAAGTCCCGAAACCTTTCAGCTCGAGTTACAAAACCGTTTTCAGTGCCTAGAAGACTGCAATGAAGTGAACGATATGAATGACAAGCTCGTGGAAACTGTCCATGCGGTCGGAGCTAAGTTCTGCAAGACCCGCCGCAGAAGAACACAAAAACTCTTCGATCACACTCTTAATCTCATGGCTGTTAGACGGGAGATGAAGCTACATTCTTCAACAGACTTGACAGCATACAGGCATCGGAACAGACAGATCTCCAAATGCATGCGGCGGGACTTACGCAACTTCAGTACAGCTCGTATTGAAGAAGCGATCGAGCGGAACCAAGGCTCCAAAGTCTTTGCCAGATATCTGTCTACCAGAAAGAGCCAACTGTCAAAGCTGAAGACAAAATGTGGCAGCATCGTTTCCGGGACACCTGAGATTTTGAGTGAGATTGAGAGGTTCTATGGGCAGTTGTACACGTCATCGTTGAAGCCACACGCAAGTGTGAGTAACGATCCAAGAGCGAGTCTCATCCGACACAATTCCGAAGATATCCTGGACGTCAGTCTGAGCAAGATTAGAATGGCTCTCCAGCACCTTAAAACGGTAAGGCCCCAGGCGAGGATGGAATTACAGCGGAGCTTCTGAAAGCGGGTGGAATACCGGTACTTGAAGTCCTTCAGAAGCTCTTTAATTCCGTCCTCCATGGTGGCATTACACCGGAGGCGTGGAGCAGAAGTGCGGTGGTCTTGTTCTTCAAGAAAGGTGACAACGCTCTCTTGAAGAACTACAGACCGATTTCCCTTCTGAGCCGCGTCTACGTGCTGTTTTCGAGAGTCATTACGAATCGTCTCGCGCGCAGACTTGACGACTTCCAGCCTCCCGAACAAGCCGGTTTCCGAAAGGGCTTTAGCACCATAGACCACATATATACCCTTCGGCAAATTGTACAGAAGTCCGAAGAGTACAATTTGCCACTATGTCTGGCGTATGTGGACTATGAGAAAGCTTTTGATTCCGTCGAAATTTGGGCGGTGCTGCAGTCCCTTCAGCGGTGCCAAGTTGAATGTCGGTATATCGAAGTATTGAAGTGCTTGTACAGTAAAGCCACGATGGCTATCCGAGTACAGAACCAGAGTACGAAACCTATCCAATTGCAGAGAGGTGTAAGACAGGGTGACGTCATATCCCCGAAACTCTTCACCGCTGCATTGGAAGACGTTTTCAAGCTTCTGGACTGGAAAGGATACGGTATCAACATCAATGGCGAGTACATCACTCACCTTCGATTTGCCGACGATATAGTCCTTATGGCAGAATCGCTGGAGGACCTAAGCACTATGCTCAATGACCTCAATAGTGTTTCCCAACTGATAGGTCTTAAGATGAACATGGACAAAACAAAGATCATGTTTAATGTCCATGTCACACCTATGCCGGTAGTTGTTGGGAACACTAAGCTCGAAGCTGTTGACGAGTATGTTTACCTGGGACAAACAGTCTGACTAGGTAAGTCCAACTTCGACCGAGAGGTCAATCGACGGATTCAACTCGGCTGGGCAGCGTTCGGGAAGCTACGACACATCTTCTCGTCAGACATACCTCAAAACCTTAAAACGAAATTGTACAACCAGTGCGTGTTGCCAGTGATGACTTACGGAACTGAGACGTGGTCCTTCACTGCTGGCCGTATGAGAAAGCTCAAGGTCGCTCAGCGAGCTATGGAGAGGGCTATGCTCGGAGTTTCTCTGCGTGATAAACTTAGGAATGAGGATATCCGCAGTAGAACCAGAGTAAACGACATAGCCCAACGGATTAGTAAGCTGAAGTGGCAGTGGGCCGGCCATATAGCTCGAAGAACCGACAACCGATGGGGAAGAAAGGTTCTCGAGTGGCGGCCTCGTACCGGTAGGCGAAGTGTAGGGCGTCTCCCCACGAGATTGAGTGACGACCTGGTAAGACATGCAGGAAGTCGATGGATGCAGATGGCTCAGGACCGTGCTTTGTGGCATTCTTTGGGGGAGGCCTATGTTCAGCAGTGGACTTGTGAAGGGCTGTAATGATGATAATGATGATAGTGCGAATAGGCGCGCGATGTTATTATGAAAATTTGGCCAGCAGGACAAAGCGCGGTGACATCATCATTCGCGTCGCGCCGCACTCTTTAATGGAACTTACTATTTCACTCGCAATTTCGAGCGGTTTACTCACCGCTGTGATTATTATTTTAACTAAAATTGTGTATAAGTATTGTTTCGTCCCCGAGTGTTACAATATGATGAAAAATCATAAAAAAATAAACTGTTTATTATGGTCTTATACTTGCCAAATATTAGAAAAAAGTGGATGATCGTTTTATAGAGAGCAGATTCTATTGGACCAAAAACTACCGCATTCTGTTTTGACGTCATACCAAGAGTGCGCGAAATCTCGGGAATTTGAAAACCGCTCCGATGTTCTCGTAGTAATAACTTCGGTATATAATTCTAGTAGATGTGTTATGTTCCCAAGTAACCAACAATTACCGGCATATGTGTGACATGGATGTTACATATGACTTGTCGCGTTGCTATATTTTGTTTTGAAATTATTGTTTCTGAGAAATCACTAATCACTCAAAATTTACTTACCTAGTAGCTCTTGGTTGATTAATGTTGGTACTACCTGCGCACAATAAACCAGTCATTCGCCATTCGGGTACAAAACAATCCCTATTCGACCTTACTATTTGTGGAGCTGACCTGAGGATGTAGGTTTTCTCTTCTCGACGTTCGTCGTCCTGAAAAAATTTTTACTTTTTACTATTATTAAACTATTATTAATTATATAGATTTTAAAGAAAGAAACAAGTTTCATAAATAGAAGATTGTCATTTTGAAAAATTCTCTGCCTAATCTAGATTTGAGGGTAGTATGCAAAGAAATGTATACTCATTCGATAGCTTGATTGTTTATTTAATCGTATGTCTGGCTGAGCCAATCAAGGAAGACTTGTATAGCAGATTAAGTGAATCTGTGTCTTTGTATTATACAGTAAAAAAAAGTGGGCAGCTTTGTTCAAACAAGTCAGAGAAAGCGTAGAAGATGACCCGAGGAGCGAAAGAACGTCGACGTCCATTACTTCAGAAATCATCGACAAACGCACACAAAATGTTTTTGGAAGACCGAAGATTGAAAGTGTGTGAAATAAGTGACGCCATAAGGATTTCTATTGAGCGGGTTTTTATATTTTACCGATGAACTAGGAATGAAAAAGGTGTCAGCAATATGAGTGCTGCCATATATATAACAAAAAATCAACCGGGTTGAAATCTATAGGGAGAATCTGGCGTTGTTTCGATCAAACACTAGCGAATTTTCAAGAAGATTTATAGCCGTTAAAGATATTTAGATTCACCGCTATATTCCTGAGAAAAAAATAAAGGTGGTAGTCCTTAAAAAAGGCTGATCCTATAGTAAATTAACTTATATATATAACTTAACTGAAGGCTTCGGCTTGATATGCTCTACTATTACGGCGTTCTTTCGATTTGTAATTAACAGATAGTTAAACACCATTTATTTTAGGTAATGGACACATAGCGATTCTCCACCACTGAAGAAAGCCAAGTTGAAAAATTCGGAGGGAAAAGTGATGGTATCTTGGGATTACAAGGGAATTATTTTTATCGACTACCTTCCCAAGGAACAGACTATAACAGGCCCATAACTGTTAGATAAATTTGCCGAAAAAGTTTGTGAGTATCGGTGGGATAGGCCAAAAAGCCGATACATTATTCTATTTCATCAGGATAATGCACCGGCGCACAAGTCAGTTGTTGTAATGGCTAAGCTCCATGAAATCCGTTTCGTAGTATTACACTATCCCCCATATACGCCTATATTACAATAGTCCGATGGTGCTGATAGCACCATCGCACTATTTCCTGTTCTCTAAATTGAAAAAAAAACACCTGGCTGGAAAAAAGTTTTCCACAAATTAAGAGGTGATGAGCTGAAGTGGGGCGGTTTATTGAAGCGTGGGAGGAATCGACCTATAAGAGTAGCATAAAAGCACTGGAGCGAAGATTGTATAAGTATATTGAAACAAGGCAAAAAATATGTAGAAATCCATAAGAATCATTTTTTTTATTTTTTTTCTTTGTTTTCTTAGTCGGGCCAAGAACTTTTCAAAAGTTGTATTGTAAATCTAAACAATCGTTATAAGTACTTATTAAAAATAAAAAATCTAATAAAATATAGATGTTATAAAAAGTCAAGTTTAGCAATAATTTGTTATTCCAAACCCAACGGCAAGGACTCTGAGGCGAATGTTCACCACCGGCTATGTTTTGCTCGAGTAGCGAATACATGCTTTTGTCTTACAGCATCTTAGCTTATAAGGAATTCTTTTTTAAAGTATCTATTCATCATCATCATCATCATCATTACAGCCCTTCACAAGTCCACTGCTGAACATAGGCCTCCCCCAAAGAATGCCACAAAGCACGGTCCTGAGCCACCTGCATCCATCGACTTCCTGCATATCTTATCAGGTCGTCACTCCATCTAATGAGGGGACTTCTCTTAGCGTTACCGATTCCAGAAAGTCAATATGGCTGAGCTCAAAATGTGTGCAGAACGCCCTGCCAAGCTACAAAATCTGACGAACGCTCTTCATTCAGGAGCATATCATCTATCCTCAGGCCTTTACAGAGCATACTTAGGGGCGGCCGTTCGGCGTGCATGACATACTCGTACATACGCTCCTGTATTAGTATCACTACGCAAAACAACCCGCGCTCTCCAGGAGTGTATTTTAAAAGCCTGAATTTATTCTTCGTCCGCCGGTACGAGACCGCCACTCGAGAACCTTTTCTCTCCATTGGTTGTCGGTTTTTCGAACTATTTGGCCGGCCCATTGCCACTTCAGCTTACTGATCCCTCTGGCCATAGTGGTCAGTCTGGTTCTACTGCGGATATCCTCATTTCTAAGTTTATCATGCAGAGAAACCCCGAGCATGGTCTTCTCCATAGGTCGCTGAGCGACCATGAGCTTCCTCATACGGCCAGCAGTGAAGGACCACGTCTCAGTTCTATAGGCCATCACTGGCAACACTCACTGGTTGTACAGTCTCGTTTTCAAGTTTTGAGGTATATCTGATGAGAAGATGTGCCGTAATAATCCGAACGCTGCTCAGCAATATTAAATCCGTCGATTGACTTTCGGTCTCTCGGTCGAAGTTGGACTTACCTAGTCGGACTATTTGTCCGATGTAAACATACTCCAATATGGTAAATAATTTATAACACTCCCCAAAAAGTGGTTCTACTCTACGTTCAGGCTCATTACATTGACAAATACATATATCATAGGGAATCAAAACAAAAACCTCATTTAAATTTCAAAAGTTTCGCTTACTTTAAATCGAGGATGATGTTCTGAACTCAAACCCCGAACTTTCGATCAAAAAGACATGGTTTTTTGTAAGAAGCTGCGATTCTCATTCTCATATGAGATTTTCATTCAGTTCTTCTTAGAAGGCCATTGACGCTATTGCTTTGGGCTTACATCATCATCATTATGCCACTGTTGATCATAAGCAAACCCTGAATATGGATGATTTTCGACCATGTAACCCTTGGTTGCCTCTCTTGATCGCCGACCCTTCGACGTCACCTTTAACGCTACTTTCTATTGATTAATATTGTGTAGCTCTACTCAGAAAGTCCAACGTTATCTAGATGCCAGGTGAGGCTTTACTTACATTTATAAGTCCCCATCCTGCAATCATGGCGGTAAGACCGACACTATTTTGTTTGGTAAGTATCACTCTTTTCATTGTGTTTCCTAAAGGTAAACTTTCTTCTAAAAAGACTAATGCAATATCGTCAGCAAAACTCATATCACTGTAGTTTTCGTGGAGCAATATACTCTTTACTCGCCTTATCGCCGTCGCCTAAAATTAATCAAAAACATAAACAGTTTTGCAAAAAAAAGAACAGGTACCTAAGCAAAGAACAAATTTTAGTGTTACTATAAGATTGTTTAATATTTTAGGAAGTCTATTTATATCAATATTGTTGTAAATTAATTAGTAAGGAATAGTTTTCTTCAGTTTTATTTTGATTAAATTAATGAGAAATAATGTTAAAATTCAAAGCGCTAGAAGTGTACCTTCTCGCTAATTAAAAAAGAAACACCTTGTTTTTGTTTTTTTTCATAAAGTAAAAGCAAATAAAATTTTATTTATTTATTTCTTTACTCTTTATTGTACACCAAAAAACAAAACAAAAACGAATACAATTAAATCTAAATTAGAAAATGTACAACAGGCGGTCTTATTAAGTGTGACTACCTCTTACTTTAGTATGCAGTCACACTGCATACTAAAGCAAGAGGTAGTCACACTTTAGTATGCAGTGTGACTACCTCTTGCTGAAAACATAGCTTGCATTCATCTGGAAATGGTAGCGAGTATTTCTTATGGTTTCTTGCGATGTGCGTTCCCACTTCGCGGGCCCACTCCACCATCATGCTCTATGAGATTTATGTTGGGACTTCGAGCTAGCCAATCCAAATGACAAGTTCTGATGTCTAGCATATATACGCTTCCACATCGCCAGTTATTTGTCAGCGCGTTCCCAGAGCGTTGTCGTCCATAAAAAAACAGTTTTCAGCAAGAGCGGTCAATGTGGGTTGTGCATGAGGAGGTAGAACTGTTATGTATCCGGTCAGTGTGCAGTTTTTGATGAAGAACTACTCCGTACAATCTAAAGAATTTATTCGCAAATATAAATGCGAGGCCTAAACATAATAGAGCCCTCACCATACGGTGTGATTTCTTCAAAAGCTTCCCTCGTCTTCATAGCACTCATCGACGTTGAACTTCACCGTACAGAGATATCCTGGCTTCATCGAAGAACAATACCCTATCTCAATCTTCTTGATGCCATCACACACGATTTCCAGCGAAGCTAAGTCTGGCAACTCGGTGCTCACGGAGTAATTTAGGACCGCGGGCTGGGTGATGACTGCGTATATTGGCAACGAGAAGTCTCCTCCTGACCGTCTATAAACTAATTTGCACATTTCTTACTCCTTTAAGATTGTTCTTGAGGTCCGCATACGAAGATTTGCAATTTCTCAACCCTTGACTCACCAGAAAACGATCATCCCGTGGTTTGGTACATGGCTTTCTTCCAGAACTAGGTCTTTTCTTGACGGGAACAGCCTCGTAATAGCGCTGCCAGATCCTTTGCACAGTCGAAAGACTGACATTTTTTTATTAAGAGTCGATTTTAACTTTCGGGAATTTGCACCACAAGATGTAGTAAAAAGTTGTTTTCTTTAAAAACCAAGTCTCAGGCAAATACGGAGGGGTACACTGAAATGATCGGAAATAGAATATTTCGGATTGAGTTACAATAAAACCTTTTTTAGAATTTGAATACTGGCCTCTTAGAATCTTAATGACATTCGAACAATTTAAAAAATGTTTAAACTATGTTGGTTTAAACTTGACACGTCGTTAACAGAAATGGAGCTCACGCGTGAACATTTCCGTGCCATAATTTATCACAATTTTCGTCGCGGCTTATCTCAAGATAAATGTCTCAGCGAACTTGTTTCGATTTATGATGTTTAAGCACCTAGTCAAACGACAATGTACCGCTGCTATGCCGAGGTCCGACGCGGTCGTGTGTTGCTCAGCACTGTTTCTTCTGCAGCTCGACCAAGAACAGCGGTCACGCCTGAAAACATCGCAGCTGTGCGAACTATTATATTAGATGACCGTCATGACATACGAGCAGATTCGGGCTGTTATCAGTATCGGAATGACTGCAATTCAGTCGATATTACATAATGAGCTGTGTGTAAGGAAGCTAGTTTCCCGCTGGGTTCCCCACAATTTGTCCGAAGAGCAAAAGGCGGCTCGTGTAGATTGATGCCGGAATACTCTGCAACGATTCAACGGAGGGGAGTCAAATGCCGTTTATAATATCGTCTCAGGTGATGAATCATGGATTTATTCATACGAACCTGAAAGAAAACGTCAGTCAGCAGTTTGGGTCTTTGAAGACGAGGTCAAACCAACGAAAGTGGTTCGCTCCCGCAGCGTGTCAAAGAAAATGGTCGCTACGTCTGTCGCGAAAAAGGGGCATGTTGCTACAATTCCTTTACAGGAACGCAGAACTGTTACCGCTGAGTGGTATATCACGGTTTGTTTGCCAGAAATGATAGCCGAACTCCGAAAAAATAACCTCAAATGTCGCATCATCTTACATCACGATAACGTGAGCTCCCATACGGCTCGGAAGACAAATGATTTTTTGAAGCAGGAAAACGTTGAGCTGATGAACCATCCTCCGTACAGTCCTGACCTGAGCCCAAACGATTTCTTTTCATTCCCTAGAATGAAAGGTTTATTACGCGTTCAACGGTTTGAAGATCCCGAAGCAGCTGTGGAAGCGTACAAATCAGCCATTTTGTCAACATCAACTTCAGACTGGAATTACTGTTTTAATGATTGGTTTGCACGAATGGAAAAGTGCATTAAGTTGAACGGAGAATACTTCGAAAACAATAAAATACAATTCAGCTATACCGTGCATGTGCTTTTTCTTACTCCCGATTATGTCAGTGTGGCCCTCGTAGTGCATAATATGTACATTAGTAAATCAAATTGATTCTTTTAAACCAACAGTCACCAATTCGTCACTAAATCTTGACACACATTTCACAGCGAAAGACATAGCCGGAGTTCTGAAGTTATTCTATGATGATTACTTACGGAATTATAAAAAAAGGAATACTATGCCCTTCAAACCAGAATCCTCCTTAAGACATGAATAGCTTTTTTTTATTTTCTTTTTTTTATAGGAGAGGGGGCAAACGAGCATGCGGCTCACCTGATGGTAAGTGACTACCGCCGCCCATGAACAACTGCAACACCAGGGGAATCGCAGATGCGTTGCCGGCCTTTTAAAAAGGAGTACGCTCTTTTCTTGAAGGTCCCTAAGTCGTATCGGTCCGGAAAAATCGCTGATGGTAATCGATTCCACAAGGAGGTCGTGCGAGGAAGAAAACATCTTCTAAATCGCACAGTGGTGGACCGCCAATCATCCAGATGGTGTGGATGGTATCGGGAGTTCTGCCGCGATGTGCGTTCGTGAAATTTGGCGGCTGGGATTAATCCGAACAATTCCTCAGAGCACTCCCCATGGTAGATGCGAAAGAAAATACAAAGAGATGCAACATCTCTTCGCAGTGCCAATGAATCGAGCCGATCGTAAAGGGCTCGGTCGTCGACGATTCGAGCTGCTCTGCGTTGGATGCGGTCAAGTGGAAGGAGCTGGCACTGGGGAGCCCCTGCCCAGAGATGGGAACAGTATTCCATGTGAGGCCGAACTTGCGCCTTGTAAAGTTGCAGGCGGTGTGCCGGCATGAAATACTGTCCCGCTCTGCTGAGCACGCCAAGCTTTTTAGAGGCCAATTTGGCCTTCCCTTCCAAGTGACCACGAAACTGCACATCACTCGATATGTCGACTCCGAGGATACCGATACTGGCTGAGGCAAGAAGGGGAGTGCCTTGAAACTGAGGAGATACGACAAAGGGGTTCTTTTTAGCGGTAAACGCGCAAACTTGTGTCTTCTGAGGATTAAACTGGACTAGATTTAGTCGCCCCCAATCCGAGACTTTGTTCAGCAAAGACTCGACTTCAGACACAAGTTTGTTCCGGTACTCAGCGACGTTTTCCGAGAAATATTGGCACGGCCGGTGTATAGAGCATCACCAGTGCTGTCATCCGCATAGCATATCATTGATATGCAGAAGAAATAGCGTTAGTGATAGCACACAGCCTTGTGGAACACCAGCGTTAATAGGCTTGTAGTCAGAGCATGCACCGTCTACAACGACCTTGATGCTCCGATCTGCAAGGAAGCTGGTGATCCAATTGCACAATTTCTCGGGAAGCCCATAGGAAGGGAGCTTCGAAAGAAGCGCTTTGTGCCAAACCCGATCGAAGGCCTTCGCAATGTCCAGACTAACGGCCAACGCCTCCCCCTTGGACTCTACTGCATCCGCCCATCTATGGGTCAGGTAGACCAGAAGATCACCAGCAGATCGACCCCGACGAAAACCGTATTGGCGGTCACTGATCAGCTGGTGATCCTCAAGGTACCGGATGAGCTGGCAGTTAATAATGGATTCCATAATTTTGGAGAACAAGGAGGTGATCGCGATAGGCCTATAGTTGGATGGGTCTGAGCGGTCGCCTTTTTTAGGGATCGGGTGGACAAAAGCTGTCTTCCATGAATTCGGGACTACGCCTTGGGAGTAGGAGTACCGGAAAAGACGCGTTAGGACCGGTGCCAACTCCGGAGCACACGTCCTCAGCACAATTGGGGGGATTCCGTCAGGCCTACTCGACTTCTGGATGTCCAGGGAGAGCAGTGCTTTGCGAACCGAGCGCTGTGAGAACAGCACATCCGGCATGGAGCACTCACTCCGCTGGATGGTCGGCGGTGTTTTCCCCCCGTCATCAAGAGTCGAGTTGGACGCAAAAAGGGAGCCTAAAAGGTCGGCTTTGTCTTTTGCGTCTTGGGCCAGTGAGTCATCCTCCCTGTGCAGAGATGGTAATGATGGCTTACAGAAATTCCCTTGGACGGCCTTGGCGAGAGACCAGAATGCACGGGTTCCCGAAGGAAGGCGAACTAGTTTCTCGCCAATTCTGCCTATGTGCTCTGACTTTGCCTTGGCAATAACTCTTTTGAAGGACCTGGAGGCGAAGTTATACTTCTTTTTGAGTGTGCTGGTGTTTACATCCCGAGTCGCCGAAGCCGCAGCCCAGGCTTGATAACACTCCTGCTTACTGCGTAATGCAGTCTTACAGGAGCGTCCAAACCAAGGCTGAGATCTGCCTCCGATGGGTACCACAGATGATGGAATAAATA